CCAACCTCGGGCCCCGCCTCATACCAACGAGTAAAAAACATGCTGCAAAGATGATTATGGCCACCTTATATGAAATTCTTAACCGCTCTTTTAGGCAACCTCCCATATATGTATGTATGTATGTATGTATGTATGTATGTATATATTGGGGCTTATAGGGCCAGGGTTTCTCAATCAGAAACCTACATTAGACTTATGACTGTCGACTTCAACTGTTGCAGATGACAACCAAACCGCGGACGTTGTAGTCATCTTGACTATCATCCTGCTCCTCTCTTCTTCTTCATCATCATCATCATTCATCGTCATCATCATGATCGTTATCATACCTATAGACCCTAAACTTGGCAACCCTAGGAGGCTGGCACATCCCCGCTGCCCGTCCTCGGCGGTGAGCAGACGACCCTGCCCATGATTGCTGGCCGCAGCCAGAAGGTCCCGAAAAGCATCCTCGGCCGTGTACTTCAGGCTGCTCTCCGCCCACTCCCTGAAGGGAGCTAAGGCTTAAGGCACAGTGGGCAAAGGTGCTTCTGATCGAAGGATTAGGGCTCAGGGCCTCTATAAGAGCTTCTGTAGACTTTGGTGTTTTGCAGCTGCTGTTTTGGCTTGCCTCAGCTTCTTGGGCCACTGCGGCCGCGGCCGCATGATGCACTCGCCTGTACTCGAGAAGTCGTAGCCACCTTTAGTATTGTTGCCAATTTAATGCGACAAGATTTATTTCAGCTTGGAAAGGAATGGAAGTTCCACGAAAGATGCATTGTCACGGTTAAGGGTTTAGGGTTTAGGGTTTGCAACTTAAATCAGCTACTAAGCCGCCCTCCTCAGCTGGTCGCTGCATCTTAATCCAGTAGCCGGGACCGCCGTCCTGCAGCGTCCGGTTCTTCGGCGCATAGACTTCCCGGCCGCGGATGAGTCGCTCTGCATCCGGGTCGGGCTCCAGCCATGCGCTCAGCGTGTATTGGTCGAAGCAGCTTTGGAGGATCCTATACCTGGGCTCTGAAGTCACCAGGAACAAAAAAAGGCAGAAACTTGCACTTCGTTAAGATTCCTTTAAGGAGCAGTTGAACAAAAAGAAACAAAGTATAGTACTCCAGAATCCAGATACCGCACAGGCAGGTTTTGCTCTCGGTTTGCAGGGTACTGCTGCACTGCCCAGACATGCTGCGTGTGGCTCCCAGATGTCATCATATACCAGAAAATCTCCTGTGAGTGTACTGTAGCTTGACTATACGGGGAATTTGAAGGGATAATAGTATAAGTCAGGAAACACACTGCGTTACAGACCTTTACATTACATGTGCAACCCGAATTCTATTCCTACAATTTCAACCAGACAATCTTCTCCGTCCTTCCCTAAAGCCTAAACCACAAACCCTAAATCCCCAACCCTAAACCACATACCCAATGAACCCTGAACCCCCTTTGGGGGTTGGGCCAAGCCCGAAGCCCCAAATCCCTAAACCTAAACCCTAAGCCCTAAACTCCAATTCCAAAACGTGAACCCTAAACTCCAAAACACTAAACTCCAAATCCAAACCCTACAATCGTAAACTCTAAATCCCAAGACGCTCAAAACCAAAACTCCAACACCCTAGACTCTAAACCCTAAACCCTAAACTCCAAATCCAGACCCTAAAACCCTAAACCCTAAACTCTAAACCCTAAACTCCAAATCCCAAGGCTCTCAAACCCGAGTCGCCTCCTTCGAGTCCCTCCGTTGAGCGAAGCTGCTCAGCACATCCTCACCTGGTGCCCTAGGGTTTAGGGTTTAGGGGTTTAGGGGTTCAGGGGTTTAGGGTTGGGGCTATATTAAAAATGATCATGGTTAATGCTTATTGGGTTTTGTTATAACAAAAATGATCATGGTTAATCCTTTTTGGGTTTTGTTATAACAAAAATGATCAAGTTTAACCCTTTTTGGGTTTTTGCTATAACAAAAAATGATCAATTTTCATCCTTACAGGGCTTTCTTATAGCAAAAATGATCAATGTTAATCCTTATCGGGCTTTATCATACCAAAAATAATGAGAAAAAATGTAGCCAACAAGGACCCGGTTCACGCGTCTGCCACAAAGGCCAGGTGGACACGCTCGGGATCTTCAAAAGCAGCTCGCCTTTCGTCTCGGGTTTTAGGGTTTATAGGAGTTATAGGGCTTAGGAGGCCCGAAAGGGTTTATAGGGTTTAGGGTTTTAGGGTTTATAGGGCTTAGGGTTTATAGGGTTTAGGCTTTAGGGTTTATAGGGCTTAGGGTTTATAGGGTTTAGGCTTTAGGGTTTAGGGTCCAAAACCCATTAAGGAATACCTGAAGTGACCAAGGGTTACTCTACAGACCCGGAACTTATTTGGGTATCATCAATAGGATGCTGCTTTAAGCTATTTGCCCTAAACTTTAACCCTTAACCCTTAACCTTAAACCTGAAATCTTAAACCCTACTATACCCGAAGGTGTACTGCTTCATAAGCCCTACTAATCTGAAGGAGTACTGCTTCATAACCGGTTTTTTTGCATCTCTGCCTTCGATCCCCAAGTGCAACTCTGCCAGCCAGCTGACCTGGGTCGTTGCTAAGGAGAAGGGTTCAGGAATGAGGGTTCCCTAAACCCGAAACCTTATTTTGGGGTTTGGAGTTTAAGGGTTCAGGAACGAGGGTTTGGGGTTTAGGCCCCTAAAATTCTTAAGCCTCGACCCTAAAGGGTTTGGGGTTCAGGGGTTTAGGGATTCTGGCTTGGGGTACCGGGTGTCGGGTCTAGTGTTGGGGGTTTAGGGCTTAGGATTGAGGGAACCAATTGAGACTAAGGTTTTGAATACATAGTTGACTAATAACAATAATAATAATAACAAATATATCTATGTATATATATATATGTATGTATATATATATACACACACATAATGTATGTGCCTTCATTCGTGTTATGTTAATTCATAGCTAGCATAGTACTCGTTACTCGTACATAGCAAAAGCTGTCTCCCTATGTATCACAAGTAACTCAAGTGACATGAGCTCAGTGACTGTCGGGCCACAGGCGGCCTCTGTGCCATTAGCAGCCGTTTGCTGGAGGATGTTTGCGGCGAGCTTATGCCGGGCAGAAGTGCTGTCGAGGACGCTTTCGGCCCCCCCGGAAGACGAAACTGCCTGGCTTGGAGAGTCTGGGGTTTAGGGTACCATGGTGTATGTATGTGTAATTTGTATACTTAATTAAATCGATGTATATATATATATATCTCTTTACCTATACATATACGATATACATATATATATATATAATGTACACATACATATACAGACATATATACATACACACATATACAAAGGTGGTTCAGGGTTTGGGGGTTTAGGGTAATTAAGGGCTTGGGGTGAAGACTGCGCCTCCGTGAAGAGCTGTATCTTCTGGAGCTGCCGGAGGCTCAGCTTAGCGTCGAAGCGCATGAGTTTCCTGACCTCGTAGGTTTAGCGATTAGGGGCTTAGGGTTTAGGATTTGGGGGTTAGGGTTTAGGATTTGGGGTTTAGGGTTTAGGATTTGGGGGGTTTAGGGTTTAGAGGCTGGGGTCTCGGCACCTCATGGAAGCACCCGCCATCAGAAGAAGCTCCTTCCCCCTCGCTTGCACTTTGCTTTTTCCCTCGAAGTTGAAGGAAGCGCAAGCCATCCTCACCGGCAGTGGCGAAGCTTTCACCAAGGATGGGGCAGTCTGCATCCTCCAGCGAATCAAGTGCGGCCACAGAAAAGCCCAGCGCTAGGGCAAGCCCAAGGGAGGACCAGGCCATCGCACACTTTCGAGATCTCGGTACAAATGAGCCCTGCTATGAGCTCTTCGATCCGCACAGCTGCTGCCATATCTCAAGAGCTGCACAGATGCCTATTCCTTCGCAGGGACTTCGGTGTTGAGGGGCCTACGTGGAGTCTACGTGCAAGCAGCCGTCGATCTCATGTGGAAGCCTTCCTTCATAATCAGAATACCTCAGGGTCCAAAGGACCCAATAGTAAGGTACTTTGGCTGCGGATAGTAGTTATCTAGGTTAATATTTGGGAGAGTATATGATTATTAGATACTTGGACCCTTACGGATAGGGTTTTGGGCTCCTGTGCAGTTGAGTTATAATCGGGAACCCTGCGCAGTACTATGGACAGTTAAACTTGCTTGGCTCGATCACCCCAAGACATGTGCACCTGCTTAGGGTCGTCGGAGTTCATTTGGACAGCTCTCTATTCGAGGGATACTTTCGCAGTCTTCCCGGAACACGAAGACACTCAATAGCCTTCAACAAACTCTACGGGCTTTTCGAGGCTTATCTTACCTACGGTCTTCATGATAGTGCCCCTTTTGGTGCACCAGTTTTGAGGCAGGGACCCTACAGCCAAGAACAAAAGTATAAGTGGGAGTTAGGATTTGGGGGACCCGTGGGGTTATAGACCCTCTCAGTGAAGTCCCTTTGAAGAGAGCCATACGTATAGGGTTAAGAAGGGTCCCCTTTGAGGGGTCTCCCTAACACTACCTAGGTATAAACCCTAAACCCTATAAGCCCTAAGCCCTAAACCCTAAGCCCTAAGCCCAAAGCCCTAAACCCTAGAACCCTAAACCCGAAACCCCTAAACCCTAAACCCTAAGCCCCCAACAAAAACTCCCATGGCGACAATCACAATGCTCCGGCCCAGCAAGGCGAAGGCTCCACGCTAAAAGCCCTTAGGGCTTAGGGCCTTAGGGTTGAGGGTTTAGGGTTTAAGGTTCAAGGTTTAGGCTTTAGGGTTTAGGGCTTAGGGTTTAGGGTTTCGGCTTTAGAGCTTAGGCTTTAGGATTTAGGGCTTTAGAGGTATAGGGTTTAGGCTTTAGGGTTTGGGGCTTTAGGGGTTTAGGGGTTTAGGGTTTCGGCTTTAGGGCTCAGGGTTTAGGCTTTAGGGGTTAACTCCCCAAGGCTCAAGGCTCCATGTTTCGATCGCAAATCGGATGCTGTCGCCCTTTCGCTCAGAGCTCAGAGAAGGACCTGCCGAGCTTAGGCTTCGGGTGCAGGGCTTGGGGTTTTAGGGTTTAGGGGTTTAGGGGTTTAGGGTTTAGGGGCTTGGGGTTTAGGGTTCGGGTAGAGGGATGAGGATTTCGGGCTTAGGGTTCGGGATTTAGGAGAGATGCTGCGATTGTTATCCTGAGAGTTTAAGAAGGGATTCATCGCACATGTGGAGGAAGGTGTGGAATCTATCAGGGGGTTTGACAGGATTCTATATGGGCACTCATCTATTTTCGGGTTTCCCGGTTCGGGATGTTCGGCTGTAGGATATCATGAGCCCAGCGGCTATAGGCAGAGGGTTAACATTCGGAGGGGCAAAGTTAGCAATCTCATGTTAAGGGTTACCCATAGGCCCCTAAGTAGTTCCTTTTTTGTAGATTATATTTAGAATCCTATAAGGTAATCCCCAAAAGAACTACTTCGGGGCCTGTGGGTAGCTGTTAACTTAACCCTGAGCCCTAAACACTCCTCGAGCCGAGCATGTCCAAAATCGCGTAACGATTGCCCGTGGTCTCGAATGATGATTCTGTTGGGTTTTGGGTTTAGGGTTTAGGGGGCTTCAGCGGGCATGGGAAGTGCAACCGAACTACGTTCCTTCTTCACGTACGCCCTCCGGGGCAAAGTAATTCACCACTCACTCCATGAGGTGCTGTTGGCGTGCAGCCTCGACAGCAAAAACTATCTGAACTCGCATCTGTTCCAGAGGGTCGGGAAGTCCCCACCTTCGACAAGATCTGTGGCCAGATGTCACAACTTCGAAAGCTGTCACAGAAAACGGTCTCCTTCGAAGTAACGTAGACCTCCAGTTGCTGAACCCCTTCTCTCATTTTAAGTGAGCTTGAACCCCGCAACCCCAAAAGCCCTTAGCCCCGTCTCACCTGGACCGCATGGCAGTTAGGATGTTGTTTAGGGTCTGGCCTAGGAAATGGCTTTCGACTCCAGGGTCAGTATTTTAAAGACCTTGCCATTATACGGAGCTTGGGTCGAGGCTCTATTTGGGCTTTCATGGACCAGGGCACCTCAGAGGTTTTATTGTTCAGGGTCTCGCTCTCTCTCTATATATATACATACAAATATATATATATATATTACATATACATATATACATTTTTACATATATACATATATACATATATACATATACATATACATACAGGCTTTGCATGTAAGATTTCGCGTCTATACTTATACAGGCTTCATAGCAGTTTACGGTCTGGGTCCTATGTAGGTCCCATTCTGTAGAATCGCGGGTCGGTGCTGCGAAGGAGATGGCATCTCTCGCCCCGAAACCCCAGGCCCGAAAACCCTCAACCCTTGAACCCCGAACTCTGCATCTTGGACGCTAAAACCTTATAAACCTTAAACCGTGCACCCAAACCCTCAACTCTTGAGCTGACTCTGTCAGGTTCTGCGCTGAGAGCGGGTTCATAGTCACCTATAGTCCCTGGGGCAGCGCGAGGCTTACGACTTGATACTCCCGGGACCTAGACCCATAAAACTGTCAGTGAGAATCCTGAGGCCAACAGCATCTACTTAATACAAGGGGTCTTTCCTTTGTAGTATAAATCTATTAGGGAGCCCGAAGGGAATGATCTTGGCAACTACTTCTCGGCCCCTATATTACACCCCTAAACCCTAAACCCTAAAGCCTAAGTCCTAAACCCAGAGCCCTAAACCCAAAGCCTTAAAACCCCCAAAGTCGGAGAGAGCCCTTTCAAAGAGCAGCATCGAACCCTCATCAAGGCGCCTTAAAAGCACCGAAAAAACACTCGGTTTAGGTTTTAGGTTTTAGGGTCAG